ATCATGTTATGGAAGTGATTCCATCGGATTAGATCTCAGTGTGGAGGTGGCGACTACATCTAAACTGCTAAACTGACAGCCCTGGCCAAGGCGAGTGGACACAAAACCTTAACTGTCACACCCGCACGGTTGCCATCAAGTTAATGCTGACTCATAGTAACCCTAAAGGACAGAGTAGAATTGTTTCTTAGCATTTCCAAGCCAGTAAGCCTTTATGGAAGCAGACGGCCACATCTTTCTCCTGCCGAGCCGTGGTGAGTTCACACTGCTGGCCTTTTGGTTAGCCACCTTGTGCTTAAACAATGCGCCACCAGGGCTTTTTGTGTGTGTGCCTAGAATGTTGTTGTTGTGAAGTGCGATTAAGTCAGTTCTGACTCATAGCGATCCTGTATAGGATTTCCAAGGAGCAGCTGGTGGCTTTGAACCAGCAATCTTGTGGTTCACAGTCTAGTGCTGATCCTACAGCACCACACATAGTGCTTGGCAAATAACTGTTGTTGTTGTTATTGTTGTTGTTAAAAGCCATAGAGTCAGTTCCAACTCCTAACAACCCTGCATAGGGTTTCCACAACTGTAAATCTTTTTGGGAGTCAAAAGCCTCATCTTTCTCCTTGGCAAATAGGAGGCTTGTAATAAATATTCGTGGAATGTATAAAAGAGTATATGAGTACCTGTATCCTATCCCAAAGTATTTGAGGAAATTTTCTATTACATAAACAGTTAGGATCGTTGTTGGACATATAACCACAGTGATTCATGAATACACAACTGCTCAACCTTAGAAAGGACTTGAGCCTTCCCCTCCAGTAAAGGCTTGAACCGCTCACCTTGCACTTCAAACCAACCCTGCAGCTCAGCGCATGAGGAGGACACAGACATGATGACATTTCAGAGTTACAACTGGCAATGACTAGCGAGTATTTTAAGGAACTCTGGTAGTGTAGTGGTTACAAGTTGGGCTGCTAACCTCAAGGTCGGCAGTTTGAAATCACCAGCTGCTCCTCAGGAGAAAGATGAGTCTTTCTGCTCCTGTAAAGATTTAAAGGCTTGGAAACCCTAAGCAGGGTGGCTATGATTCAGATCTGCCTCCATGGCACATCACCACCAACGGTAGTCCTGGGTGTCCTGCTGTGGCATTGTAGGATAAGCACTCCACTGATAACTGCTCGGTTGATGGTTCAAACACCAGCTGCTTCAGCACAGTAAAAGTACATAAAAGTAGACCTGAGGCACCATGGGTTAGGAATTGGGCTGCTAACCCCAAGGTTGGTGGTTCAAACCCACTAGCTGGTGTTCAAGATAAAGATGAAGCTGCCTGCTCCCATAAAGATTTACAGTCTTGGAAACCCTAAGCAGCAATTCTACTCTGTCCTGCAGGGAGGGTGGCTAAGATTTGGAATCAGTTCAACAGCAGCAGGTTTGCTTTTGGTTTGCTTAAAGAGTGCTGTCGTAGATTGAATTGTGTTCCTCCTAAATTATGTGGTTCTCTGTGGTTTGTTAGTTATGTGATGATTCCCAGTAAACCAATAAAAGAATTAAAGGGCAGGCCACAGTGTCCTTAATCCCATCATTATCTTGATCAAATGTAAGGGTGTTTTCTAGGAGTGTGGCCTGCAACACCTTTTATTTTATAAGAGATAAAAGGAGAGAGTAGAGAGCAGAAGAGCAGGGGCCGACTACCCCCAAGAAAGAAGAGCCTGAGTGGAGTGCATCCTTTGCACCTGGGGTCCCTGTACAGTGAGCTCTGAGATCCAGGGAAGGATTGATGCCAAGACACATGCAGATCTCCAAGAAATGCCGGTTCTACAGATGCTGAAAGGAGACAGGCCTTTCTCCAGAGCTGCCACTCTGAACTCAGACTTCCTGCCTCCTATACTATTTGTTAAAGTCACCCAGCACTGGAGAACTAAGACAAATACATACATGTGTTAAAATGCAAAATAGTCATAAAGAATCTGAATTGTCCATGGTTGGGTAGATGGTTTAGAGTAGCTATTTATAAGGATGTTTACATGTCATTTTGTAAATACCCATTTTCAAATTGACTTATAGGCTAATACTTATTTCATGGTATCGTTTACACTAGATGATACTATTAAATCAGTTTGTAAAATATACATGAAAGTTTGAGCCTTTCTATAATCTCATCTCCATTGCTACCTCTTCCCCCATCCCCTCCCCCCAATTCTTCCCCACTAAATAAAGAAAGACCAGGGTTGGTTTACAAATGCAGGTTTAGCTTTTGAGGCTGGGAAAGTGCTTGGGGTTTTTTGTTAGTTGGTTAATTTAACTTTTTACTCACATGTTCTCCTGATAGTGGAGATAAAATCATGACAGTGTCTCATAAGATACCAAGGTATCAGTGAGAAAGGAGGAAGGAGCTAAAAACAGAAATCAGTGGGCTAGAGTATAGAGTATGGGCCTATAAGGTAGTGAGTGAATTCCACTCTAGGTTTATCTTCATGTAGGTTATAATGCTTTTTACGGTGCCTCAAGCCAGTCCAGGTGTAGCTCTTTTAAGCTGGTACACTTGACAATGTGTAGAATTGTTCTCCAGTGGTTCTCTTGTAGCATTTCAACAAATTGCAGCACATGAGCATAGCAGCTTGAGAAAAGTGTTCCAACCTTCAGGCCCCTGCCCCTCATGTCATAGGCTTAGCTTTCTCCTGGGCAAGTTCTTGTCCCTGGTCACCCGCTGTGTTGTGATCATTCTCTGAAGCGTCCCTGCAAAAAGAGGAGAAGGTGAAAATCAGCCTCAAGGTTTAAATTAATTGCACTGCTCAGTTATGCTGTGAGTTAGCCAATGCTTTCAATAACGACATGCTAAGCTAAGAAGTTTAACCATAATTGGAAAGAGAAAGTTGGCATAGAAGTATCAAGTGACAATAAACCAGAAGGAGAACCATGAAAAACATACAGATGCAAATACCAGAATCATCTGATAAAAGTAGGCATAAACAGCTGGGTATCTATTTTATTAAATACACCTGGCACTGATTTGCGATATTGAAACCTTTTGTTTTCAGAAGGTCCTTGAGTGTGGTACAAATGGTTTGCAGAAGAAAGCCCTGGCAGTTTGCTCCCATACAGACAGCTAAGAAAGGGCAGTGCAGCAGTTCTACTTTGTAACACCAGGGATCACCATGAGTTAGAATCGGCTCAATAGCTATGGTTGGTTTTACAACTCACAAAGCTACTTATGTTGTTCTCATTCTATGGATTTGTATTCATGATAAGAATAGGTTTTCTTATATATACATTTTTGGTTTTTGTTTTTAAATGCCATCAAGTTGGTACCAACTCATAGCGACCCTGTCTAGGGTTTCCTAGGAGCGGCTGGTGAGTTTGAACTGCCAACCTTGTTCAAACTGACCTTGTGATTCATACCGACCTTGGGGTCTAGTGCATTATCCTGCGCACCACACTAGGATTCCATGTTAAAATTAGTGCTAATAAAATAGAAACTTGAAACTGAAGAGGAAATGCAAATGGGCAGGAAACATTATGAAAAGAAGTCAAGTACGGTTATTAATCATCAGGTTGTCCAAAATTTAAAACATTAATAACAGGCATTGTTAGAAAGCATAAGCAAGACACATGAATTTGTTTATTGTTAGTGGAAAAGTAATGTGTTGGCATCTATTAAAATGTAAATATGTGTATCATTTGCTAAACAGCTCTACACTGAGGGATCTGTCGGACACAAATAAAAGCATCAGTATAAAGAGATAAATGTGCATGGAGTTTTATTGAATGATGCTTATATGAGGAACAAAACTAGTATTTACATGTGGATCATTAGGAGAATGATTGAATCAATAGAATTATACAGCTATTAAAAAGTATTAAATCTATTTCCTTGACTTGAGGGCTTATTTTATATTATTAAATGCCTACAAAAAAGTTTTAGAGTAATGTTGATTCTATCATTTCTATTTTAAAGTATTTAAATTGTCTATATGGTTATATATCTGGAAGGGTATATACTTAAAAGCATAAAGTCGTGTGTGGAAAGAGACATATCAAGCCATTAACAATAGTTACACCATAAGGAGTAAAAATGGGTGATTTTAGTGTGAGCAGGGGTGATTACTAGTGTGTCTCCCATATCTCTTTCCCCTGGGTGGTACAATCCATTGAGCACCCTGCTACTAACTAAAAGGTTGGCATTTCGATCCTACCCAGAGATACTCAGAAGGAAAAGCTGCCAATGTGTTTCTGAAAGGTCACAGCCTGGAAAGCATCTCTCTGTGGACTGCAGTTCTCCTCTGCGTTCATGGGGTTGCTGTGAGCTGCAATCGGCACAATAGCAACTGGGGTTTTTGTTGTTAAAAATTTTTACTTTTTTCATTAAAAAAAATCTAATAAAGTTTTGTAAATGATAAATGTAAATATCCATTATATGGCATTAATGGTTCGGTTTTGAGCATGTGTAAAACCCATGAATGGAGGAAAAAGGACCAGCTTTTCTGTGTTTGGTCACAGATATCTTTGTAGAAGAAACAGCAGGTACCAATCTGTATTCTATTAAACCTTTCTTAACTCAGTTAAAATTTAGGTATTCTGTCAGATTAGGAAATCAATGATTATAGACACACACAAAAAAACAATGCTTCCTTGTTACAAAAATTATGTTTTTTCTGTTTTACTTCTTATAACAGCTGGCTAAATACAACCTGTAAGTACATATCTTGCTTTGTTGTTGTTGTTAAGTGCCGTCGAGTCGGTTCCGACCCATAGCGACCCTGTACAGGGTTTCCGAGGGTGTAAGTCTTTACGGGAGTAGAAAGCCTCATCTTTCTCCCACGGAGCGGCTGGTAGTTTCGAACCGCTGACCTTAAGGTTCTCAGCCCGATTCGTAACCACTTCGCTACCAGATCTTGCTTAGGCAAACATAATCATGTCTTTTCAAAAGCTAAGCGTTGTTTTTTTTTCCCAACATACTTGCACTATATACATTTGAAACAGGTTAATTTTCATTGTTCTTTTTTGTATTTCAGAACGCTTTACCGTGTACAGCTCTAAACACTTGCGGCAAGCATGGAATAAGTAAGTTGTTAAATACAAGTAGATGGCATTCATGCACTCTTTTGCTCTCCCTTATTTTGTTTTCTTTCTCCTCCCTTTTGATTTTTAAAACTATCTTGAGAACTGTTCATGCTATTCATTCATGTATGTACTCATTTAATCATAAAGCAATTATAAAACTCTGTGTGCCTGAGCATACATCATGTAGACCTGTACCAAAAACCATGTGAGCTTTTGTTTTTTAGAGCAATGTGGCATCATTTCAGAGGTGCACATTCTAAAATTCATCATAGTTAATGTTGGTATAAGAAAAGTTTTAGTATCAGCAAAATGCCATTCGTTAAATGCAATGTATTGAGCGGCTCTCTAATTCAAATGTTGGTGACAACCTTCAAACTAAATAAAATTGATAATTCAGATTTCCTCAGTTTACTTTAACCCCCTGAGACTTACTAGGAAGTTAGGTACCTGTTTCACTGGACGTACACATCACTTTACCTAGTTAATATCTAGTCTCTCGTTTGAGCTTGTTGAAATAGTTTTAGTTATTGGCTCTGAAATGTTAAGAATTTCACGAGCTGTTTTGTTGTTGTTAAGTGCCGTTGAGTTGCTTCTGACTTCTACAACCCTGTATAAGGATTTCCAAGGAACAGCTGGTGGATTTGAACTGCCAACCTAGTGGCTCGCAGTCTAGTGCTGATCCTACAGCCCACACCAGAAGTCACAAGTTCTTTAAGGGTCTTTTATTGCAAGCTGATCTGTTAGTAAATCATTGAAAGTTGGAGCAGGGTAGGTGAGTCAATTGGGTTTAGTTGTTGGTTTTTGGTTTGATCACATTTCAAAGGAGCCCTGGTGGTTCAAGGGTTAAAGATCTCATACTTTGTTGTTGTTGTTGTTGAGTGCCGTTGAGTCGATTCTGACCCATAGTGACCCTGTATAGGGATTCCAAGGAGCAGCTGGTGAGCTTGAACTGCCGACCTTGCAGTTCAAATGGCTTTGCAGTCTGGTGCATTAACTCACAGCGCCACACCAGGACTCCACTCTTACTTGGTAGTATATACAATATACAGTTCCTACTTTAAAGGAGCTCTGGTAGCGTAGTGGTTACAAATCGGGCTGCTAATCTCACAGTCAGCAGTTCGAAACTACCGGCTGTTCCGTGGGAGAAAGATGAGGCTTTCTTCTCCCGTAAAGATTTACAGCCTCAGAAACCCTGTACGGGGTCTCTATGAGTCAGAACCAACTCCACGGCACATAACAACAATAACAACACTTTAATGGAGTCCTGGTGTGGTGCTGTAGGATAAGCACTAGATCGAAAGGTTGGTTTGAACTGTAAAGTTGGCAGTTCAAACTCACCAACGGCTCTTTGGAAACCCTATACAGGGTCACTATGAGTCAATACCTACTCAGTGGCACTTAATAGCAACAATCTTAATTAACAGATCAAACACATTCCTCTTTCAAAAAGGTTTGTCCAACCCCATTGCCACTTTATAAAATATCATTGATAAAACAGTTGGATCACTAATCCTATCTTTGATGTAACATAAAAGTCTGGCAAATCAACACATAGTGGCATTTGGGGGGTTGTTATTAGGTGCCTTCAAGTCAGTTCCAATTCATCACAACCTAAGTACAACATAATGAAACACTGCCTGGTCCTGAACTATCCTCATAATTATTGCTTTGTGTGAGCTCATTGTTACAGCCACCATGTCACTCAATTTCATTAGGAGTCTTCCTCTTTTTCATTAACCCTCTGCCAATCATGATGTTCTTCTCCAGGGATTTGTCTCTTCTGATCACATGTCCAAAGTAAGTGAGACCAAGTCTCGTCATCCTCCCTTCTAAGGAGCATCTGGCTGTGCTTCTTCCAAAACAAGATTCCTTCATTCTTTTGGTAGTCCATGATATACTCAATACTGTTTGCCAGCACCATAGTTCTAAGGCACCAATTCTTATTTATTTTCTTAATGCTTTATTGTGAATTATGTGATAGTTTACATGGGAGGACATTAGCTTCACATTGATCCCTTCATATATTGTTTCCTTAACATGGTTACAGTCCCCTCCATGCATCATCCACCAGCCAAAGGGTATACCCACAAGCCTGCCCCCCAGGTCGTCCGCACACAGCCCCTCTTCCTCTCTGGGTCCAAAGTCCCCAGCCACTCCATCTCCCCACGTCATCGTTTCTGCCTCCATCCCATCTTGCCTCTGTTGCCCCCACATTCTGGGTAGCCAATGTCCAAGTTGCCCATCCCTGTCTTCTCCGTGTGTGGAGGGGACCAATTCTTATTTGATCTTCTTTATTCACTGTCCAACTTTTGCTTGAATATGAGGGTATTGAAAATACCATGGCTTGGGTCAGGTGCACTTCAGTCCTCAAAATTATATCTTTCCTCGTTAAAATATTAAAGAGATTTTTTGCAGAAGATTTGCCAAGGAAATATGTCATTGATTTATTTTGCTGCTTTCATGGGGACTGAGTGTGGATCTGAGTAAAATGAAATCAATGTAGTATTTTTTCATTATACTTATTCATTCAGTTTGCAAAGATGTCAGCTTGTGGACTAAGGTGCACCATGGTATTTTCAATGACCTCATATGCATGTGAAAGCTGGACAGTGAATAAGGAAGACCGTAGAAGAATTGATGCTTTTGAGTTATGGTGTTAGAGGAGAATATTGAAAGTGCAATGGGCTGCTAAAAGAACCAACAGATTGATGTTGGAAGAAGTGCAGCCAGAGTGCTCCTTGGAGGCCAGGATGGCTAAACTTTGTCGCTCATACTTAGGACATATTTTCAGGAGGGACAAGTCTCTGGAGAAGAATATCATGTTTGGTAAGGCAGAGGGTCAGAGAGAAAGAGGAAGACCCCCAGCATGATGGATTGGCTAAGTGGCAGCACCAATGGGCTCAAATGTAGAAATAATTGTGAGGTTGGCCCAGGATCTGGCAGTGTTTCATTCTGGTGTGCATAGGGTTGTTAAGAGTCAGTACTGACTCGATGGCACCTAACAACAACAATTTTAGGGACTGTGCCCCATAATATGTCAGATGAATGGTTGTTCTTGTTCTGCCACTCTGTACTGATTTTTGAGATACTACCTAAAGGGCACATTTTCACCCATTTTCATCACTCTATCTTCAGAGAAAACTAGGCTATTTCGAAAAGAAATTGAGCATCATTTCATTTTGACCACATAAGGCCTGATGCTTTCCTTTCTCTGAGAGATATTATTTATATCAAGATAAAAGCAATTAACTTTATTGACAAAAATCTGTTTGCCACATTAGCGTACTTTAAAAAATGATGTGTATTTGACTTCTGTTAATCTTAAGTTGCCTCCAAATCATTGTGACCCCTGTGTACCAAAGTGGAACTTGTGCTGCTCAGGGTTTCCAACTGCTGATTTTCCATAAGTGATCACCAGACCTTTCTTCCAATGCACTTTTTTATCAGCAACCAAGCCTTTAATTTTGAAGACATTAAAGAATTCTCCAGAATATGATTTTCACAAATAGATAATCTTTAAAAAACCTCTTTGAGATACTATTCCAGAATATGTATTATTTATACTTTCGTAAATAATACATATTCTGAAGTACTATCTTATAATGATAAAAATAGCACTTATAATTTTTCAATTAGAAAATCAGATTTTAAATAGAGTCCTATTATATTTTTTCTCTAAGTTTTTTTAATCAATTGACAAAATTGTAGTTAATGTTTGGTTTTTGAATTTTTATGAGACACAGAGGATTTTAAAAAAATATGTTAGTAATCAATTCAAAGTAATTTAACAAACTTAGTCCCACCTTTGTTGTTGTTAAGTGCCATGGAGTCAGTTCTGACTCATAGAGACCCTGTATAGGATTTCCAAGGAGTGACTGTGAGTTTGAACCACTGACCTTGTGGTTCAAATCGACCTTATGGTCCAGTGCTTTGTCCCATAGTGCCACACCAAGACTCCTTTAGATTATCTTTTAAAAAATTTTGAGGAAAATATTAAAACTGAACTTGAGAGATTTTAAATTTATAAATGTAAGTTGTTTAGAACTAAACTTATAGATCGCATTTGTTTTAAATTACTTTAAGCGTTTATTAAAGAAAACACTAAGTAATAAAATCATTGCTAAAAATATTATAAAACTGTAACTTTCTGTTAGTACCATGTTAAGAACTGAATCCTTAGATCCACACCTACATACTCTAGCCAATTTGAATGCAGGGCACTTTAGAGAGAACTGAGGAATTAGAGACATTAGTTAAATTATTGATCCTTCCTCCAATGTACCTGTGACTTGTCACCATTATTGACATTCTGACATTCAGAAATGGGGTTTAGGTTTGGAATAATTACATTAAAATGTGATTAAACAAATGCTAGTCTTCTCTATTGCTCCTAGATAATTAGGCTGTCTACAGCATAATTACTAAACAAGCAACTGGCAAGGTGATAATAGTGATAATAGGTCCATTATAAAGTGAACTAATTTACAAGAATGAACTTGAATTCAATTCAGGTAAGTTAAATGAGTGGGTTCAATGAAGTAAGTGGCTGTTCAAACTTAAGCAACAAAATTAAGCTTCTGAAATATATATATTAACCAAGCTGTTAGAGTCAGTTGGCATGTTAGCCAACCTAAGGGACTAGGAGCTTCTTGAGAAAGGAACCTTTACAGCTCTTTGATTGGCTATAACAAGTGACCCAATTGATTTCAGCACCAAGTCTGCCCCAGGTGACACCTTTGCAATTCCCAGCTTGCTTCATGGGCATCATTTTACCCTTTGAGAGATTTTTGTTTTTAGTTTCTGGGCAAACAAAGCAGGGATGGGAGAAGAAATGTCAGAAGATCCAGCGGATATCCACACACAAAAGAGGGATATGAAGTAGGAATCTTAATTGTAAGATTGGAAATGCTATTGCATTAGTACTAATATCCCTAGCAAGATTAAGCAAAGAAAGTCCTTGCAGTCCCTTATGCTGAAAGTGCATGATCCCTAAGCAGAGT